TTATCATAACTTTCTAAATTACTGATGGATGTATCCATTTTTTTGATTACCAGGAACCCTGTAATAAGAGTTTTCTGCCGAAAATTCGCATTTTTTCTCTACTTCGTAGCGAGAACCTAAAAAAGATGTCACACTCAACCCTACCCTGGTTTCTCTATAATCTGTCTCAACGCTCTCAATCCGATCTGAAGCCATAATTGCGACATCCGTCCAGTATTTTTTTTAATCGCGAAAAAACACATGCAAATTGTACATTGAAAATGTTGTTGTAATCGTGGCTACAAGAATTGAAATCGTACACCATGAAATTTAATCGTGCTACAAGATCGAAAAGACTTCACTATACGCGGATGACAGCCTATCTCAAAATATTAAAGGTATCTACCATCCTCTATATCTACCGTCATCCAGTGAATATTCCTTAATTCAAGGGATAAGTAGTTTTGGAGAAAAAGAAGAAAAACAAAGGGAAGGCGCAGAAAGAATCAAAAACGGACAATTATTAAGATGGAAAAGAAATAACTACTTTAGACACATGTGTATCTTGGAGTTTTATTTAATATTCTTCGCCCTCAACTTTCAGTTTGCCGTTTGAACAGAGCGTTCCTATTTTTTATTCAAGGGATTTCCGGCCTATAATTGCCATGATAACATGTGAATCTCATCTCGTTTTCTCTGCGATAATCATTTTCACAATGACACACTCTAATAAAGAATATATTTTTAACATTAAGGAAATTTTCATAATTATGTGTGTTATTAGGAATGTCGCAATCAGTATTCACTGATTCAATTTTTAGGAAGTTAATACAGTAAAAAACATTTGTTTTTAAACTGTCTGTGTCAAAATTATTCACCAACGCATAAAGATTCATACATGTCACATATCGACACTCCTATTCTATTCTTAGTTATTTATCTATTCAATTTCACCTATTATTTCTCGATGTAAGCGCAAATATACAACGGTTGACATTGGAGCATCTCGCTTGTGATTCGGTGACATGTGCAAAAACTTAGAATGGCAGTGCTCCAGGAAAGTCTCCTGCGCACCCGCCGAGTCAGGGTCTCTTAACCTAAACATTGCATTGATGTGGTACCTCACCAAATAACTCGGAAACAAGTGAATAAAGAACAAAACTTCTAAATCATCTATTTGGTGAACTGTTATGTATGCAACTTACGTCTTCCGCCGCGTTCATGCGACCAACATAATTTCTGTGCAAGCACTCTCATAGCAAGATGCCACTGAGAGAGACCTTTCCTGAGCACATATTTTAACGTGATAAGTGAGAAGAGTATTTAAACGCCTCACCGTCAGCGAATTCCTTTTTTTTACTTTCTCGATACGGAGAAGAGAGAAAGATATATTATACTGCTCAAAAAACGGCGAAATTTACGGCGTAAACTCTTATTGGAGCCTTGGTAACGAAAAAATATCTTTTATGTGATGTAGTCAGTAATCCTGTTTGGTGAGTCCCTTGATATCGAAAAAACGAATGACGGTAAAATGTCT